GGGGGGGCGCTGCGCACTTCGGTGGATCAAAGCAAGTTCAATATAACGAGGTTTCACCTATAACGCGGTAAGATTTTTTGGCTCCCGAGAACAGCGTTATATCGAGGTAGAGGTGTAGATGCTTAAGTTACTTTAATATGATTGTTTTCTGCTCTCCAAAAGTAGAATTATTTCTTTTATTAGGTCAGCATTAAGAATGGAAGTAGGACTGTATGGTTTCACCATCTTGTCTTTGCAGCAAACATTACCTTAAAAATGTTGTGCAAGGAATTAAGAAGAAACTGCACTGAGAGAAATGTTCAGTGTTTTAGCAGAGCGTAAGTGTTCCACTACTCTACTTTCCTCTGCAAGTTGCCTATGTCACTCTTAGTCAAGTATTAAACCTCTTTTATTTCACTGAAAGTCTTTTTTAAAACAAATGGCAAGTGTCAAATAGTGTTATCTTTTGAAGTCTTGTTGCAGCAGTTCCACTATGAATTACCATGTCCATTCAAGACTTTTTCCGTTTCTTCCACACCTTTTTTCTTCTTCTGTCCTTTCTAGAGCTGAAAGAAACATGCCTGCCTTTAGTTTGCATGCATTTCGATAAACTTTTGCAGTGAGTTTTGTTTTTACAGTTTAGCAACAGCCAACCCCACACAAATGTTCAGGTTTTGAATTACAAAAAAATGGGAAGAATTTGGGCAAAATGAGAAGTTTGGTAGAATTTGTTGCTAACTCAGTGAACTTCATCAGGCTTGTGGTAAAACTCGCCATTTTCATTGATCATTTTGCTGCTTCTAAAAGCCAGAGAGAGCCCCGCCCCCCCAAATATTGTCAAAAACCTTTTTTTCTTTTTTAAGTGATATTGCTCAGAATATACTAGAGATGAAATTGTGTGTGTGTGTGTGTGTGTTTACCTTTGGGAACTTTTTCTTGGTTAATACATGATCATACAACCAAAACTTGGTTTGTACTATTTCCACTCTAAACCGGCAGTAGTAGAAGGGCATTTCTTTACATCAAACATATAGTTGGAAAGAGAACTGATATCAGCAGAGCTGGTGCTGAGAGTAAGGGGAAAACAAATGCTGGAGGATTAAAGGACTGCTCTGCCCTTCTTCTACAACCCTGTATGGGTGAGGGAACCTGCTGGCTTCCTCCTCTGTGGCTCCTGTATGAGGAGCTAACACCTATGGTCCTCTCTCAACAAGAAGTCAGGAGACAGAGCCACAGAGTCAGCCTGATACTGGTGAGTTTAGGGGGTGTGGTGCACATGGGATTGTGTGAGCAAATAGGGGAAACACCTGAAAATGTCTCTGAGCACAGTAGTTGGGAAAATAAGTTCCTTCAGCTTAGGGCAATAAAGCACAATCTCAGGAACTATTATTTTCCTTAGGGAAATATTGTCCTCAGAGCCAGTCAGTATTTGTATTATATTAACTTTCATGGGCTGCAGAGATCTCAGTTTTATGTAAACTCTGCACATATGTTGAGACACTAAAGTAAGTTTACAAATACTGCATTTCAAATTACACTAGAATCACTTCCAGGGGACCTGTTGTTTTTTTTTCTAAATAGAAAGATTAGTTTATGTCTTGTGAAATGTATATATATAGTCAGAACTCTTGTGTATCACAGACCATAGAATTTCATCATGAAAGCATGTCTGTATAACTAGGTTTTATACCATGAGCAATTCTCCTCTAGCAGGATAGGAGTGAAGCCAATGGGTTTTATCCTGCAGGAGTAGGGAGGGGACTCTATTTTACAATTCGACGGATCTCTTGGCAGTGCTACAGACAGGGAGAGCTGCAAAAAGCAACTTCCAACTAAGACCAGCTTAACTCATCTCCTAATGCCTCAGTTCCTTTAGATTTGTCAGGTAGAGCTGCAGTTTAGAGATGGCTTAGTCTCAGCTGTATTAACATGGATGGTGCACATGCAGAGCCAGATGGTGTCCAGATCTCTGCCCCTCTCTCACTCTCCACATGCAAGGGAATATCAGCAACCTCTCCCTCCCCCCTTGTACTGCTGATCCACTTGCTGCCAGTGCTTGACTGAGCTAGCAAAATGCCCTCTCCTTGTCGCCACATTCACGGTGGTGATCTCTCTTAAGGGAGAACCCCAGGTTCAGACCCAGTCAACAGGATTAGCCAAGGTATATGGACAGAGATGCAGAACTCATGCAAAGGGACAACGCTTCTTCATTGACGGCTTTCTGCCTGGGGCCGAGCCTCAAAATCTCCACAGAATCTTCAGGGTTTTGGATCCAGATACAAGGTTTCTTCACCACTCTTATAACTAATGAATGCATAAGAAACTCCACAAGGGTGGAACCTAACATGGTGTTTGTCTGGCCATTACATATGTATCTACATGGTGGTGTGATTGGACCCTAGAATCTATCAGCTGCAGGCTTATTCCCTTGTCTCCAGGGTCCCCTCCCTGCTCCTGCAGGATAAAGCTCGTTGGCTTTGCTCCTGTCCTGCTAGAGGAGAATTGCTCAGACACAATAGTAATGGGCATGGTATAAGAGCCTAGTTATACAGACGCTTTCATGACAAAATTTTATGGCTTGTTATATGCAAGATGTCTGACTAGATGATCTTATGGTCCCTTCTGGGTTTTGGCCTTAAAATCTATGAAATGGTCACTCCATGTTTTGCTTATCTCCTCTTGACCCTCACCTGGACTTCTTCAGATCCCGTCATCTCCCACTGAAAGAACCTTCCAAAACAGTTGCCCCTAGAGAGACACTGACAAATTCTCCAATGTTAATGTCACCACTGACCGTTACTAACTCTTCCTCTTGCTGTTCTTTAGCTTGCCTGCTTTAAATTGACTCCCCAGCAGAGGAAAGGAGAGCAGAGATTGAAATGTCTCTCAGAGGCCCTCCACTTCGTCCCTCACCAGCCTTACATTTACAACATATAACATAGAAACTCAAACATGCCTGATAGCATTAGGAAATGAACCTCGCAACACAGCCCCCATCACTTTGTTGGGCAAAACAGGCATAGTCTCCCAGAATAACTGTCAGATCTTACACCTGGACCCAGCATGGTTATATCTGACAGCCTAGATGCTGGCTGGCTGACTGACCAATATCCACCAAAAGAAGCTATTGAGCGAAATTCAGAATATTTTGCTCCAAAGTAGGAAAGCTTCAACTAGACTGACTTGTAAAGCGAAGTGGAAGAGGTTTTATATTTGAACACGTCAGCACCAGCTGCCTCCTTTGACAGCACCGATTTTAGCAGTATTGGACTTTCTACTAACTCTAAAACAACCTGGAGTTTCTATTAGTTCTGTAATGGTACATCTAACAGTGATATCTGCACATCACCCTCCTGTCCAGGGCCACACTGTATTTTCTCACTCTAGATTGCTTAAGGACCTTATTCACGTTTTTTCTCCAGTTTGGAAGCCCCCTGCTGAATATAGTATTCACAGGGTTAATGGGTCTTTGCTTTGAGCCCTTAGTAACCTGTTCCTTATACCACATGTCAATAAAGGCTGCTTTTTAGGATCCATTATGTTAGCTCGATGGCTACGGTAGATTCAGGCCCTCATGGTGGTCCCCCTTACAAAGTGTTTCATAAGGATGGGGTTACTATCAGGGCCACATCTCAAATTCCTGCCCAGCATTGATTCTGAGTTCCAAATGAATCCATTTATTCATCTTACAGTTTTATTCTTCAAACTTTGCTCAATCCAAGGGGAAAATAAACTTCATACACTTGATGTATTAAGGCAGGGCATTGTCATATTACTTTAAGAGAATAAAACCATTCTGGTACACACCTAGACTGTTTGTGGTCTGTGCTGATCAGGTTAAGGGTCAGACAATTTCCTCACAGAGATTATCAAATGTGGCCGCCAACAATATGATAAGATGCTACGAGCTAATGAGGCTAACCACCTTAGAGCACATTGCACTAGAGCCCAGGCAACCTTTGCTGTTTGTTTGGAGAATGTCCCTATTTCTGAAATTTGTAAAGCAGTGATTTGGAGCTCAGTCCACACATTTACAAGACACTTTTCCTTAGTGGAGGATTCCAGGCTGGATGTCCATTTTGGTAGGGTTGTCCTGCAGTCATTTTTTAATTAGGACTAAGTATTCAGTTCCAAGCAAACAGAAAACTTTTTTGTTTGCATTGTTGTTCTAGCCTTGTTGTTCCCATGATATGCGAGAGACAAGGTGGGTGGGGCAATATCTGTTACTGGAACAACTTCTGTCAGTGGAAGAGACAAGATTTCAAGCATCACAGAGCTCTTCTTCAGGTCCGGAAAGGGTAATCAGAGTGTCACAGCTAAATACAAGGTGTGACAGATTGTTAAACATAAGGGATTAACACATGATGCAAGAAACCACTTAAAATGAAGAGGGCAATTAACACCTCTGCCGTCTGAGGACAAAGGACAAATTGTTGTAATGAGCTATACAACCAGTTTATCTGTTGAGACCTGTTTCAGAGGGGTAGCCATGTTAGTCTGTATCAGCAAAAACAACAAGGAGTCCTTGTGGCACCTTAGAGACTAACAAATGTATTTGGGCATAAAATGTCATGGGATTATAGCCCACGAAAGCTTATGCCCAAATAAATTTGTTAGTCGCTAAGGTGCCACAAGGACTCCTCGTTGTTTCTGTTGAGACCATGATTTTTAGTGTGTAACCTGGTTATGAATTTAATTTTCCAGGCTCATCTTTTGGAGGTGTTGTAAAGGTTTCCTTTGAGGATGAGGACTGATAGGTCAACTATGGAATTATCATTTCTTAAAAGTGTTCACTCGTGTGACAATGAGCTGCCTTTCTTCCACTACTGCGGTGTTCTACTCCTCTGGGATTCTGAAGCAACTGAGAGACAGTTGAGGCTGTGCCACTCTTTATGCCTTCGGGTGGGGACAGGGAGTGAAGATATCTGGTATCCATACAAAATCAAAATAATGCTGGCCAAAATAATTTGATGATAATCTGATCTTGCATACATGGGGTGCTTGAGAATCAGGCATCCATGTGGACATCACAGCTCTGAGAACTACAGTTACTGTAAGGTAAATATCCATTCTTTATTGTTATTTCTTTTATCCCCTTTTTTGCCTCACAAAAGGTAATTAGGCCATAAACAGAGATCTGACAACTAATTTTATTTGCAGCAAAATTAATACATAAGCAAACAGATAATTTTAGTGGAGCAAAATTAAAATATATATATTTTAATGATGTTTTAAACACACCAAATCTCATTTCTCTCCTCCCCCTATAACTCCGTAGACTTTTCTACTTCAGTATGCATAGAAATATTTGCTAATTTTAGTAAACAAATGTTCTCTT